ACATGTGGTGCGAATGACAAATAAAGAAACTTTGACTTTTGACTTTGACTAAACCACATATGTCAAACTCGAGGCCCAGGGGCCAAATGTGGCCCTCATTGACATCTTATCTGGCCCCCAAGATGATATGTTAAACATCAAATACTTTTTTTACTTTAATTTTTTCAGTAATCTTTGATTATGATGTCAAAAGTGCAACAGATAACATCAAACAAGAACAAACAAATTATTTTTGAGGACCTGCAACCAAGAAAAGATGTTGGGTATCTAACCTAAGTTAATGTAGCTTCTGAAACTGGCCCTTTGTTTGAAAAAGGTTTTAATTTTGACCCCCTTTTGTAAGTGAGTTTGACACCCCTGGACTAAACTCTCTGGGTAACACATGTCTGAATTACATGTCATAATTTCCCATCTATTCATTTTCACTAATTGACTATTTATATGTAACAACAAATATATTCTTAAACTCAACGGGACTTTACCTGGAAAAATAAAGTTAAATAAAATAATATAATACAAGGATTTTAATAATCAGATAATTTATTAATGGAGTTTATGAAGGGTACACAAAATCTGAATTCCTGGACATTTCAGCATTAAGCTATTTTTTCAGATCCAATTTGTTAACCAAATTCTAAAATTTGCAGTATCCTTTATAAAAACATAAAACATTGTTCCTTTAAGTTTTGGCCCACTTAACCCCATTAAGCTAGCTGTGATGACAGGCTGCAGAGTTTTCACCAGTGTTTCTGTCTTATCCTATAACGTTCAGTCAGGTCCCCTGCACAGTTTCTACCTCCAGAAACCGTCCAGAGGACCTGACTGAACTTTGATGAAATTTTCTACCTGGATTATTGAGCATGGATCAAGATGTTTCTGTTTTACCTGCTCCATTACAAACAAACTCATTTACTGCACTTTGCTGCATTAGCGCCAGTGCTTTTCTATTCATCCTCTCTCTCGCTCCATATATCCTACAAGCTTTAAGATGCTAACGAGCTGCGTGAAGTTGAGAAACGTACAGACACGCATGCTCCGCATACGAACATATAACCCTCTCGCACCAGTCCACCGAGGCGGGTGTGTGTCTGCTCTGCTCATTCAGACAGACATCCTCAGAAAGAGAAAGGAGGGGTGGGGGAGCATGAGACCTGAGAGAACTCGGCGCAAGAGCGGCTTGTTTATTTAAAATAATCAAGTGCGACCCAAACCAAGCCTTAGTCCAGTTCCTCCGTGGGCACTGAGCAGAACTAGGCCAATGGGAAATGTCCCAGTGCTCCATGGCCAGTCTGCCCCTTGTCTGTCCGGGGCTATTGACAAAACAGCCCCAGAAGCCCACGTCTAACGACGCGCCTGCTTTCAATGTAAGAAAGATATTAAACATAAACAAACGTAATGAGGGAATAATCTGGAGTTAGTGTAGAGAGAGAAATAAAAAGGAAAAGTTAAGAGAAGTGTTATAAGCTGTGAGCTGACAGGTAAATTAGCATGTGTGGCTAATGGGGCTCAATGCAGCCGGGCCCTCGAAGGCACCCTATCACTCTGGCAAACAGGCAGCTTGTTGACCCAGCCAATGCCTCTGTCAATGCTTTTCTTAGTTTTAGCATTTAAATGCACCAACAAACACCCTCCTGGCACACTTACTGACATACTAGCAACAAACACAAAACCGTATTGAGCTGTTTTGTGTGGGCACATAGGATGAATAAATATAGTAGGATTCACAAGAATTTGGAGATGATTCCTGAAATTTTCAAAAAGGATTTAAAATACTGGCCATCTACAGTAAGTCATCTTTATGAAGCTCTTTGTGGCGGTTTGAGATGCTGTAAAAATCACATTGTGTCTCCTGAATCTGGTATGTCATGTTGTTTACAATCTGCTCATCAAGGCGAGGGACGAGTCCCTCCCTTGCTGCACAACTTTTTGCTGCACCTTTCTGCACAGAGCAGAAATCAATAGCCAAATTGTTGTTCTGTGAATCTCTTCATCATTTTTTTTTCTCCTCCAAACACTTTGCTGTGTATACCCTTGACACCGTCTTTAGGTCATAAATCAAAACCTTTGCAAAGTGATAGAAGATTGAATGTATGTCTGCATACACATGTGTGTGCATGTGTCAGAGTAGTGAGCGTGCACAGGCATAAATGACTGCAAATCTGTTAAAAAAAAGAGACCACAGCTGAGTATTATCGCACATCAACGGTGCCTGTCTTCTGGTAGCGGGCGTCTGAATGTTTCATCTAATCGTTAAATGCTGACAGGCTTCACAGAGTGGCTCTAGTAATCCCTGTTAGAGGAAAACAGGGCCTGACTTCATTAGGTCTGTTAGCACTAAACCGCCTTACCCGCACTCATGACTGGTTTAACCTGTGTGGAGATAAATGGGAGAGGAAAGGAGAAGACAAAGTGGGCAGATGGAAAGAAAGGTGAAATAAAAGAAAAGGCAAGGACAGTGACATTTAAAGAGAAGGCAAAGGTGCTAAAGTCGGTTGCAGAGGATGAGTTACAGAGAAACGGTGGGGGGAATCGGGGGCTTAGAGCGTGTGAACCTGGAGTTTTCAGAAACAGAGCAGGGGATGAAGCACAAAGTGGTGTTTGAACAGCAAAGGATTTAATGATGCAAAAACGAGCAAAACAATCAATTAACTTGTGTTGCAATTAATCAATTACTGCGTTGGCACATTGACAGCCAAAGTGCTTAACAGAGATTCCAGCGAGAAGCTCCAATATGCTCAAGAATTTGCATTGACCTCTGTGCACACACATGCATTCCCATTTATGCATAAGCTAATTTATGCTTGTGCATATGCGTCTAAGCAAATAAAGATACGCTCACACGTTCTTGTTCTCAGCATATTTCTCCGGTACATTCATTTGGTTTCTCTGGTAAGATCCCCCCCCCCCCACCACCACCACCACTTTCCCCTCTCAATGCTCAGTCATTTTCTCCTGCCAGCAGAGATTTTTGGCTGGCTTAAGTACGCCCACAGGCTCCTGAGGGACAGCCCATGACGGATGGCACTGCGTGCAACTCCGATTCGATTCAGCCCATTTGATAAATTTATTGCTGGCATTTTGAAAATGAAATTAGAGGGACGTCTCCTGGAGACTGTTTTTCCTGCACAGGTGCCATAAATATACTTCATTTGGCAGCAAAGTAGGAGGAGGAGTGCAAACGGGGCGGAGAAGTGTTGGATAAAACATGTCAAGGTGTGGGGGTGGGGGGGTTGGCAGAACGAAGGGGTGTTCCACAGAAGCAAAGAACTAAAGAGTAAGGTCAAATTCTAATGAGGTCTTGTTTTAATCATGATATTGGAAGAACTCTAAAGGTTAACCAAACTGAGCTTCAATCCCACCCAGTCGTTCCGATTGTGTGCTGCTCTTCATTTAAGCATATTTACTGTGGCACTGCTCTCCCATCCCATGTTCAACTGTAACTATCTGCGCATGTGGCTTGTTGACATTGCAACTGAACATAAATGCTCTATCCATCTTTAATGCTAAGGTAGGGGCAAGACAAAAAACATACCTATAACTACACATTTACTTTCCAGTTTTGCAAGAGTGCACACACTAATGTGTCTTATGTACATTATCTTTTGCCTCAAGGCCCTATGGTTCTTCAGTAGCGATTACACTGTCAGAGCAACTTGGTCTTTTATCACTCACAATGTATAAATGAAAAGAGCGAGCTATTTTTCTTCATTGTGCTCTTGTTATGTGTGACTGAGAGACTTTGGTTTTAGTTGCAAAGTAAACAGATTGAAACTCTACTTCCAGGGTGGCTAAAACAAGAAAGACGCACAACAAAATGATGTTATACGGATGCGGACACACACAGGCATCGTCAAGTGAGCGTTCATTCATCGTCAGGCTCTCTTATCTGCCTACTACTGAGAAATGTGTGTGAGCCCAGCTTTTGGAAGGATGATGTACACCATTCCAGCCTCTGCTCCCCTTCAACATTCATCAAAGAAGGATGCTCAGGCAAACTGCATAACTTACCTTTATAGACCAGCCCTGACAGCACTGTACAACCCATAGTCATTACATATACAGGCTCACAATGGTATGTTTGTGTGTGAGGGAATGTAACCCGTCACAATGATCCACTCCATCAATCACAAGATGCCCTTTCAATCTGATTTTATTTTTCTTACATGTGCATACAAGTCACATCAAACTGAGAAGTCAATAGAAATACTTTCACTTTGCTATAGTTCAAAACTTGTTAAAAATAAGCCCTAAATTATTTTGAGTACAGAAGGGGAATATATATATATATATATATATATGAACAGTATATATTTCTTTTTTTTCAAATCAACAGAGATTTCTTTTGCCTGATTGTCTGCTTTGGCACAGCAATCACAGAGCGAGACACACCCCCTCTGACATTACTGCGTTCTCTGCAGGAAGAGGCAGAGCTGGAACGGCCTGATGCAGGCTGCCATTTACAAAGTAGAACAAGACTCCTAGAGTTGTTTAAATGATTTCACTGTTTGGACTCATCATCTTACAGAATCCAAACAGCCTACGGGTATGTTACAGCAAACAGTTACTCCCCCCACACACACCAAAATACATTACCCATCTGTCTCTGATGATCCATTGTGCAAGACAGACCCTTCCCCCAACTTCAAATTAGCACACGGGAAAGTGTGGAGGAGTCTAAATGGAACTGTGATTAGTCTTAACATAAGTTGCACAAAAGGTAATCTTAAACAGAAACCATGGGGCTGTCTGTCATTGCAGGGTAATTTAGCCTCAGTATCAGTGGGTGGGATTGATTGACTTTGTAATCAAACAGACTGTTCTGCAAACAAATAAACCTCGAAATGACAATTTCAAATCAACTTCAGCAAACACCATGCAATCCTTTTTCAACTCATTACCAAAAACCTGAGATAGCACACCGACATTCAGAGCAACACAAGCACACCAGCCTTTTGAATAAGCACGGGAATCCACAGGTGACTGATTAAATGCTGACTTACCTTTTTGTGTTGTCACTGTGGTACCTGAGCAGAAAAACGAGACAAATACATGGAATGAGTTAGCACTGTACGTGTAGCGGTGGCAGTCACATAAAATGCGAAAGATCCCAGCCTTCATACCAGGGCACAGAGATGGGTTCAAAAAGTTAGGTGGGGGTCGTCATGCTCATGCACACTGATTTGTGCCAGAGTGTGCAAAAAGAAAAATAAGACATACAATAGGTACCCTGAGCAACAAGAAACCTGCATGCATCAAACACTAGACTGAGGGGAAAAAAATCTTTTGAGTAGAACTGTTAAAGAAAAGCCTTGAACGATGTGTGTCTTGATCTTGAACTGTGATTTTTATACAAATCTTTGTGAGTGAACTTCATAATAAGTTTTAAAAAAATTCCATGGATGTATGATAAAGCAAAGCAAATCTAATACTTTGGATTTTGATACATAGACCTAAAGAGATCCCCTTGGCTTACACAGAAAGGATAAAAACACTGGCTTCCTGTGGAGACAAATGTACTGCAACTTGTTTCTGATAGAACCGAAGGAGAGAAGCACAGTCATTTTGCTTGTTGCTCTCATAAAATATTCACCAGGACAGTGTTCGTAAGCTTCCAGGGTTTCATTTTAATTTAATAGACTTGTCAAACATGTAGAGAAACTAGTCGACAACAAATGTTTTTTCAAAAGAGCTTTATTAAGAAGTTTTTCTTTCCTTTTTTGTTGAGCAGTTCAAATCCTTTCAAGCATCTCTCAACCAGCCCGGTGCCCAAAAGACCCAAATGGCCACATTAAATGGAGGGAAATAATTGAATCCGGGTGGATTTGTTGTGTACTGGGCTGAAGAAGTGATAATCCAAAAGCTCTGCCTAATTGCCGGAGTAAAGATGGCGCCCATTGTGGAGATGGCGTCAGCGTTTATCAAAGCAGTGTGCCGTGGGATTGGACTGAGCATTAGGGCTTTCCACACTTTTGTTTTGTGAGGTGTTACAGTGGATTTGAGCAAATATTGGCACTTCAGTTATTACATGGTCTGATTGTCTTGCTATGCAACTGTCCGTAAGCTCAACATGTCGACACTAATCTGAGAAGCGGCTTCAAATAATTAGTTAAAGCATGGTGCAGTCAACCTTATCAATGTAGGAAAATCCTCGGTCTAGTTCTTTTTCAGCTCAAAGGCTTACAAACTCTCATCTCTGTTAAAACCTTCAGGATAGCAGCATATCTGATAAAACATTACATTTTATAACCACTGGTCCTCATTTTACTTTCTATATCACTTATCTTATATATATATATATATATATATATATATATATGTATATGTATATATATATATATATAT